GCAGCCTGGATCATTCCAGAACACCACTTAGTAGTTTTTTTTTACCGATATCTGTGCTGTAATTATGTGATTTAGTTGTTGAGCTGTAAATCATGCTGATTATCATGTTAAGGCTTCACGCCAATATTATTGAGACCCAAGAGGTCGTTTCTTGCTGTCATATCATTTATTTTACTAATATTCTGTACTCAGTCCTTTTCATGCCTATTATATCCTATCCCAGTCTCGATTATTACTATTTTCCACATTTTATTATTGACCGGGCTAGTATCATGACATTTGGAGCCCGTGTGTGAGGTTGGTGAGTTATGGCTGAGTGAGGCTGAGAGTCTGCTATTGAGTGACAGTATAAGATTGGGCTGCACACCGCAGCGAGATATTGAACAAGCCTTCGTTGGCTTTGTTATAGGGCTTGGGCTAGTGAGAGAAGCCCCTCCGGAGTCTTTACACCCCAGTGAGCGCAGATAATGATATTGAGGGATGGATCTTCCCTGGACATGGATCTTGTCCGAAGTATTGTACCGAGTGATGGATCTTCTCCGTGAGGCTGGATTGGCCTGTGTCCTCGGTACTGGATGACTGCGGTCAGTGATGTATATTCCGGAATGGATCTTCGCTGGGCCGGATGTCCATATACAGTACCGAGGGGTTGAGTACTTGTGAGTGGAGGTTCATGGAACATTGATCATGCTAGTTGTGCATTGGTATATGTAAAATCTCTGAATTTGAACTTCGTACTGTTCAGTTGCATTTAAATACTATTGAACTTTACTTGAAGTGCATGCATGTCTACTTTTCCTGTTCAGATATATGTTATTACCTATTGAGGTTTGGTCCGTCATTACCTGTCAGCCCATAGGTTGGACTTGTTACTTACTGAGTTGGTGTACTCACGTTACCCCCTGCGCCTTGTGTGCAGATCCAGGTGTCTCGGTTCACGGTAGCGGCTGCTGATTATATTGTGCGGACTTTCACTTGGAGATTGCGAGGTAGTTGCTTGGCGACCGCAGTTCCGCTTTCTCCTTCCCTATCTTCCTCTAGTTTATATGTTGGATATTTTCAGACTATATTAGTCATGTTATTTAGAACAGTTGTAGTAGTTTTTGCTCATGACTAGCGACACCTGAGGTCGGGCTTGTATTTTCTTCCCGCTGGTTTTGGAACTTCTTTTTTTTATATCATTGGATTTCTGTTAAAACGTGATGTTTTCTTAAGCTTTTCAATTGGGAAATAGTGTAATTGGGAATAAGTGGCTGGCCTAGTTCCACGATAGGCGCCATCACGACCGGGTTGGTTTTTGGGTCGTGACATAACGTGTTATGAAACAATAAAACAAGAAGAAGAATATTGCAGAGAAAAGTAGAGAGACAGAATTCTTATTGATTTGGGATCAATTACAATGGAATAGAACCCCTCTATTTATTGGAGAAAAGTGACTTAGCCACCCAGTAACAAACCCTGTAATCTCTCTAAGATATAGACATTCACCTTAAATACAATTCTATTTATAACACTTTATATAATGTATGGCTTAAATATATGTCTATTCTTTAAACTTGACTATTATAAGCATAGGCGGATCCAGGATTTAGAGGTTGCGTGTGCCACTTTGTTTCCGAACTTAGACATATTGATATTTACATGGTCCAACTGAGGTATTTATTCAACCGATTTGATCCATTTTCGGTTTCGGTTTGAATTATTTATCTTTTTGACTTATATAAATATCTTATTAAGCAAAAAATTACTTTTTAATAACTATGACAACCTATTGTGAAGTACAACTTTGCTTGATATTCCTTATATCACAAAATATAGGAGAATCACACTCCTTTCAAAATAGTTTGGATCAAAGTTAATAACTATAACATTCATGAAAAAGATAAGAACGAATTATCGATTTTAATGACCCTAGAAGTTAGATCTAGTTTATTCTTATCTAACAAACTGTAAACGTTGCTAATACATTAGGAACAATTACATTAATACATTGACTAATTCTCTTCTTTTTCTTCTTCTTCAATTAGACGGACAACCAAAAGAAATTAAGAGAAAATTAGAAAAGAAATATTAACAAAACATGCAACTATGTACATCTAGAGGGCTCGAAAAAGGGGAAGGTACGGGAAGAGAATGGTTAAGGATATGAATTTGAGTTTTGAAATTGTTGTTGCTAAAAGGAATTGGTTTCTTTAGTTTAAATAAATGAAAAAGATAATACTTTATAATAAAAAGATTAAAAAGATAAAAGATAGAAACTGTATGAGGCTGACAACCTCAATGTAAATATCAAAGGGTGAAAGCCTAAAACTGAAGCGGAGATATGTTTGAAGTAAATGGTATTCGAACTCTGGCACTTGGATACAAAAAAACAGCACTCTACCAGTGGCACCTAGAACAAATTTGTTTATCTTGGTGCCATCATTTGGTATATATCCAATCTTTCTAAATATACATAGAAAATATGAATTTCGATCGACGTTTGTGGGTGGCGTGGCACCCATCTCCCTTAATAGATCCGCCCCTTATTATAAGGCTTAGTTATATCATTTAATGTTGTTAATTCATGCTTTATTAGTATACGCATTCTTAATTTAGATTATTTAATAACTATATAAGTTCGCGAATAACTTAGATAGATATTATACGAGGAAAAAAAAACGACGACTAAACTTTTTTTAAGATGCAACGTTATTAATAACTTGTTTATGGTCGATTTCCTCTAATAATTCCTTTTCTATTGATAATATAGCCAACTCATTTAATCTTTTATGGGACATTGTTGATCTTAAGTAAGATTTTATCAAATTATAATCTTAAAAAACTTTTTTTCTTTGAGGTAACTGTTATAAGAAAACTCTACTTTTGAACGAAAAGTACTAAATAGTATTTTTTTAAAATATCTATACCTATTATTTCTTAAAAAGTAGGGCTTCCAAATTTGGGGGCCTAAGGTACACGCCTTACTTGTGATAACGTTAGAGTCGGCCATGTATATTACTATAAGAAGTTCTTATTATTTTAGTTCTATTTAACCTAATAACGTGTAAAAATAGTTATGCACTACTAAAAATTATTAATGAAATTATAGTAATTTATTACAAGTTGTCAATGTATTAAAATATAAGTTAAAAAGATAAACAAATGTAAGCGACTTGGTACACATCATCAGAGTACATTCATTAATAGCGACCAGCCGACCACAGATCTCGTCTGGAGGTTTTGGATCAGTCAATGGAAGTATGTTTGTTTTTTCATTATTTTAATTAGAATTTAGAACTTTATGAATTTAATGAGTAAATTATATTATTAATTCTCCGAGAAAAGTGGCAATTGAAGAGTTTCGCTTCCTAGTAGAAAGAACTGCCAAAAGATAAACTAAAGAGGAGGATTAATTTTTTTTAAATAGAAACAAACTACAGCAGCAAAAATCCATAATTCCTTTATTAAAAAAAACATTTTCAAAACCTTGACAAGAAAGGAGAACAAATGAATATCTGCTCAAGAAATGAAGTTTATATTATACTTTTTTAGAAGGAAAAAAAAGTGAATATTCGAAAGGCAACAATAATAGCTTATATTTTAAAGCATTTGCCGTCTTATTCCTTTAAAAAACGTAATAACAAAATTCTCAGTAGTCAGCTTTCCTTATTATTGTAAAAGAGAGGATTTTAATAAAAACGAAAAAGTTTGACTTCGGAATAGAAAACCCCAAGGATTTTCTAGGAGAAGTATTAAGAATAAATAATATGTTCCGAAATTGATTTTCCAAAAGAAAGAATTTTAATAAAAAGGAAATGTTTGACTTTTCGAATAAACAAACCCTAGGATTTACTAAGAGAAGTATTGGAGGATATGTTTTCTGAATTAATTTTGCTAGTGACGACTTGGAAAAGATTTTAAAATCATTTTCCTTACTTGCATAAAGTCAGAGATCAAAAGTGAAAGGTTGATAAGAAGACAGGTTGATTATTCATTAGTTTTTATCATATTTAGAATTTTGACTAAATTTTATAATTATATTCCTTACAAGTATACATGTTCATGAGTCATGATTACCGAATCATTAGACGTTTTAAATTCACAGGAATCTAATATTATACATTTGAAAACTAATTCTAATTAACAGGAGCTTTTAATTTGTAAATTTGTGTTCGGCATAACATAAAATGGTTTCATAAAGATATACCAATGCCAAAAAGGTTTATTTTGAAAAAAAAAAAACTAATTTGTAAATCTTTTTTTTTGTCGTTTGGTTTGATATTTAGCTAACTTATACTAGTAGAAGAACTTGGAGATAATGGAATGCGGGTGATGTTTTAGTAATAATTTGAATATTAAAACTGAATATTTTATATCCTAACTGAAACAAATAACTTAAAGCAACAGTTAAGATCATGTTATAACAAACTTGCCTTAATGACACAAGTCAGTTTCTCCAATTTAGTATAAAATATATTTCTTTAGATTTATTTTTTTCATCAGCTAAGACTGAAAAACATAAAAATTCAAGGAAAACAATCTTTGGAAGAAACATTTTACACGGTACATATTTAAAAGAAAAAAAAGAAGAAAACGAAAAAATTAAAGGCATGTAATGAATCGGGTATTATTACTTTTAGCCAGCGTCAGAAATTATTTACATCTATTAGCCGAAAGGGTATAAAAAATTTGTATAATTTTTATATATAAGATACAGAATGTATATGTATATACAAAAAATATACAAATTTTATATATTTTTTCAGCTATTATTTTGACATCGGCTATACAGTGTCATTGTTCCTAATGAATCGAGTGAATCCAAACACAAGTTGCTTAAACATATGAAAATGATTATTCACCACTAACTCAATAACAAAAATGGCACCTAACAAAGACTAACATAAAAGTACTACTTAAGCTATTACCAAGAAACCTATAGCAAAATCTGGGTTGCACCAAATACACGTGAGATATTACC